CACACACACACACACACTCACATACATACACACGCGCACACACAACGTACACACTCACACGCACACACGCGTACACACACACACACACACACACACAAACATACACACACATACACTCACAAACATACATGCAGCGAGCTGAGAGGGACACAGCGTTCAAGCAGAATGACGGAGTTACTCGATAAAAGTTCTGCCCACACGGGAATCAAACATGGGTCTCCTGCGTGCGACGGTAGAGCTTCTAGTTCTACACCACAAACTCTGGTAGAGGGGTTGGACCTCTTGCTACTTGTAGTCTAGTTTGCTACGTGCTATATTATTTGCCCCCACTCTTTTGGGTGAGCATGTGTGAATAAAAAATATTTAAAAACCTAAAGCTTTAATAAATTGAAACTGATGCCAAGTCAGGTTTCTTGATGAACGATAAACCATTTCCCCCTAATCATCCTTTTCACTAGATCATGATCTAAAGTATACATGGGAGTCACAGTAACTCATTTTATTCTTTCTCTCCCCCCCCCCCCTCACCTTCTCCCTTTCGCCCTCATTTCCGCCCCTGTCCAAATCACTGCCCGTGACCATCTCCGCCCCGCCCCTTTTTTGAATTATTCATTTCACTTTTCCCCTTCCCTTCACTATTCCGGCCGTCCACCACTCACTATTCTCTCCTACCTCCCCACCCCACCCCTTTTCAACCATAACTACGTCCTATCCCTTCCCTCAATTTGTCCCCGCCCCCTTTCTCCAACAGCCAATCACAGAGACGAGCAGCAGCTACTTCAACAAGATCCGGACGGGCGGGATCATGAACTGCGCCGTCAACTGCTACGGTCCGTATTTCAGCGAACACGAGCGCACGTTCGCCACCTTCTGGGTGGGCCTCTGGTCAATCCTGTGCTGCATCTCCACCTCCATGACCGTGTCCACCTTCTTCGTGGACATGAAGCGCTTCAAGTACCCTGAGAGGCCCATTATCTTCCTCAGCGCCTGTTACTTCATGGTCAGCGTGGGCTACATCATCAGACTCATCGTAGGACACGAGGCTGTGGCGTGCGAGGGTGGAAAGATCCGCTACGACACGACAGGTCCGGCCGTCTGCACCGTAGTCTTCCTCCTCGTCTACTTCTTCGGCATGGCTTCCTCCATCTGGTGGGTCATCTTGTCCTTCACCTGGTTCCTCGCCGCCGGACTCAAGTGGGGCCAAGAAGCCATCGCAAGCTACTCCCAATATTTCCACTTGGCAGCCTGGCTCATCCCTAGCGTCAAAAGCATCGCCGTTCTGGCCATGTCCTCTGTAGACGGAGACCCCATTGCAGGGATCTGCTACGTGGGGAACCAGAGCTTGGACAACCTCCGCGGGTTCGTGCTGGCTCCTCTCTTCGTCTACCTCATCATCGGGACCTCCTTCCTGCTCGCGGGCTTCGTCTCGCTCTTCCGCATCCGCAACGTGATCAAACAGCAAGGGCGGGGCAAGACGGACAAACTGGAGCGACTCATGATTCGCATCGGCGTGTTCTCCGTGCTCTACACCGTGCCCGCCACCATCGTCATCGCCTGCTACTTCTACGAGCAGCATCTGAGAGAGCGCTGGGAGAAGACACACACGTGCAGCTGTTACGAGGAGCCGGCCGTGCCCGACTACACCGTGTTCATGCTCAAGTACTTCATGTGTTTAGTGATAGGGACCACTTCTGGCTTCTGGATCTGGTCCAGCAAAACCGTGGAGTCGTGGCGGAAATTGTTCCACGGCAAGCTCTGCCACAAGAGCAGCTACCAGAACAGGAAGTACAGCAGTACAGCCTACCACCAACCGGCCAAGCCACACCCACTCAGTCACGTGTGAGGCCGAGGAAAGCGAAAACAATTTCTCAGTTTTGTTCGTTTCTTTCTCTATTCGTTTTTATACCTGGAGTCACCGTGCTTCGGTTATCCGAACGCGTCATGTGCCAAGAGAACAAAAAGCAGACTCACTCAGCGCAGCTCCCGCTGTGTGCTTTACGTGTAGACTTGCGCGTTCTTACACTCACAACTGTTGTATTTGTTCTATATATAGAAGACCACCACGGTCTTGAACTCACGACTACCGTTGTTTCTCTATATTATAGAAAATTTTCCAGGTCTTAAATCTACAACTGACGTTGCTTGTCTGTGTAAAAGGTCTCCAAGGTTGAAACGTCTGTTTCAGAGGAAAGAATTTTGGTAGTTTGCCTTACGAAGATGCCATACGAGAAGTGACGGGAGAGCTGTTACAGAATTTCCATTCCCTTTTGGTCGTGAGCAGCGGACACCAGGGCGCAGGGAGATCAACACGAGATTGTGAATACTGACCCTGTAATAAACACTTCGGACAGAGGTGCTGTGTGTTCCGGGCGCTTCGGCTTAAAGACATGGACACGGGTATAGCATAATGTACAGCACACCGTCACAGACTCACAATTGACGGATTGACAACAAGCCGTCACAGACTCATGACACACTGTCACGGATTCATGACACTCCGTCACGTGTTCACGATACTCCGTCACGGCTTCACGGCACGACACACCGTCACGGGTTCACGACACACTGCCACGGCTTCACGACACGACATACTGTCACGAACTCATGACACGCTGCCACGGATTCACGACACATCGCGATGGACTTGTTGTTTCGTCGTGTACTCACGACACAGAAAATCCCAAGCCATGCCTGATACTCCGAAAAGACACTGCAAGAAACCAGCTGGAACCAACTGTCAAGAAATCATCTCAAAGGCTCGAATATTACATGTATAATTATGCGCATTGCTTGTCTGCCAGCGTCATGCGCAAAGGTGCTTACCACCCCTAACCTCACCCTTTCACCCCCTCACCATCCCCTCACCCCCTCGCACCCAACACACTTCCACACTTCTTGGCTCACTGCTCTTCTTGACAGAGCCC